CTTCCTCCACAGTTACAGAACTCCCAAAAACCAAAGGGAGAGAAAATAGACCCCCAGTCCCCAAGTATGTAGGACAGGGGATCTATTTTGCAGCTATTGTGAGACATACAGTCTGCCATAGTTCTCTTTGCTCCAATGTTGAAAAATCTATATTCACATAAGGTTGAATAACCAGTAACTCTCTTCCAAAGGAGACATGCTTAGACCAGCAGGTTTCAACTGGGATATGTGTATGCTGGAAGCATGAATAATTTTAAACAAATAATTTCCAGGATTCTAAGCTTCACGTATACGTTTTCCAAAATTTACCTTTCTAAGAATATTCACACAAATCAGTAATTTTTAAAAAGAGACATGTGCCTTCCATCCATTTTATCATCTTACTATGACACATTGACCCTGAGTGTAAAAATCTTCAAATCTCCAAAGATTAAAATAATTCAAAACATCAGTGTTGGTGTTGAGAAAGTAAATGACTAATAACTAAGTCATGAAATCTGGAATTGGTGTTGATACTTCTCCTTTAACAAAACTGAATAAAACCTAATTAAGATGACAGCTGGTAGATCATTAAAAATAATTTTTGATGATAGATAACTATCATCAAAAATTGGAAAGAATAGAACTTGGAAGGAATTCAAATATTTGAGTGACATTGCTAAAACAAAACTCTTTTCATTCTCATATACTTATTTATTAGAATATGTTTTCTCAGATCTCACATCCATAAAAGCAAAAATAGAATAGGTTACACTGAGCTTTGTCTCGTTCTAGCAATAAATAATATGCATCCACGTATACATACACCTATTGAACAAAACTAGCCCAAACTTTGCAATAATGGATACATTTCCAATAAATGTTATCTTTATGTTTATTGTCTAAACATACAATTGTTTATGTTGTTTAGCTTAATTTTGTACTAATAAATGTAATAAAAATTTAATTCAGAAGATATTTTACAGCTGGAGTCTCAGGGTCACAAATTATTTTTTCAGTGTACATGCATATGTTAATGGCAGAAAAAAAGTGATCACTAAAAAGACTTTGAAGCATAAGGAAGATATTTAACCAGAATAAAGTTCTATTGGAAAAGTGGTTTGGAAATAGGGGTTCAGAAGAAAAAAGAAAATAAAAATTTCTGGTTGTTAAAATGAGTTTGTGCAATTTAACATGGATTATGGAAGGAATCAAATGGACACTTTTTAAAGACTGATGAAATTCTATGTCGATGTTGACAGTTTTCTGTGAACAATATATTTTATAACCACAGTTGACCTCTGATCATGATAGGTTTAAACTGTGTAAGTCCACTCACTTGTGGATTTTTGTTCAATAAGTACTGTAAATGTATTCCCTCTTTCTTATGATTTTCTTAATATTTTTAAAAATTTACCTTATTGGAAGAATGAATTATGTAACACATATAATATACAAAATAGTGTTAATTGACTGTTATCTCAGTAAGGCTTCTGGTCAACAGCAGGCTATAAGTTAAGTTTGGGGAGAGTCAAAAGTTATGTCCAGATTTTTTACTGTGAGGGGGAGCAGTGTCACTAATGCCCAAGTTACTCAAGGGTCAACTGTATTTAAGCTTATGATGAGAAAATTTAGAGATCAGCTTAAAATTTGTGAAAAGGCATATAAGCTTTGAAAATTTACTGAGGACTATTGATTTAAAATCTTCAAATGCCCTCCAAATTAACATAAAATATTAGTTAAAAGCTAGTATTTTATATGAGTTATTTCTTGTGAGTTATTTTATGTGTTACATTTGTGAGGAGTATGGGATAAACATAAATACAAATAAATACTTTTTCATTTCTTTTGCCTATTATTAATTATATTTACTGAATGTAAGACCTGCAAATCCAAGTACATATTCCTTGCTCTCAGCACCTCAGTGCCCACCAATAACAAGCTGGTCTACTCAGTCTCAAGTAACCCTAACGACATTATATGTCCCGGGGCACACACGCCATGGTGCCTGGCGTACTATAGATGCTCCATGTCTGTTTGTTGAATTATTGACTGAATGAAAGAACTGAGATTCTTCATTTAGTAAGTTAGTCAGTAAGCCTGGTACACTTTCAGAAATTTTCTATTGAAGCGCAAATTTACATTTCAGTTGTATCATCTAAACGGTGGTTCCTAAAAGCCAGCTCATTATTCTGATGATATCAGTGTCACCCAAAGTGGATGTTATCAATTTAATTTCCTGTCCTCCCACCCCATATTGCTCAATTACATACTTCAGGGGTGCAAGGTCTGGGAATCTTCATTTTTAATAGGCTCCCCTGGTGATTGTTACACACAGAATTGACAGGAAGTTGGAGAATCAATTTTGGAAACAAGAAAAGCTAGGCAGATTCATTCAGAGAATAAAAATGCGGGAACTACAGAGTCTCAGGGGAAAATAAACATCTGGTCAAGGCACCACTGCCGGTAATGAAACAATGGCAAACATCTGTCACTGTGCTCAAGATTCAGATTTGAAGAAGAGAGTGACGGCTGGTGTACCTTGGTCACGTTGGTATCCATGATTAGTAGCCCTATGGTACCATATCCAATAGAGAAGAGGGTTTTTCATAAATATATATTAGCATGCACTAGAAATCAGTAAAGTTCTCTAGACAGCCAAACTAATTACAAATATAAGGCTATGCACAATGGAATGGAGTGCTTCATAAAGAGGTATGACCTTGTCAATAGAAAACCAAACACTATACTATCGTTCAACCTGAACACTATAGAAAGAATTCCTATATCAAGAGCAACTGGATAACCTTGAAAATGTTATCTCATTTTGAGTCTGCGGCTCTATAAAACGAATCAAATTCCAAAGTCATCCAATGCAGTTTTTAAAAAATCAGTCTAACATTGTTTAGAATCCTTTAGAACACTAAATAACTGACTACATTTGTAACTTTGTTGCTGGTGAAAATTTTCAGTTATGTTTAATGACAGAATACTAGGAAATGTCTGTTGTAGGGAAGAATAGTCAGTAATCATCTGCTCAGCTCTCCACCTTTTTATCCAGCGTGACTTCCTCCACTTATCATGTGCCCACAGTTCCAAAAAGGAAAATCTCAGTCATCTTATCCACTAGCTTTGTCAAATGAGGAAATTGTTAAAGAACAGCCCATTCATTTACTCCCAAATGGCTTTTGCTCTCTTCCTACCTTAGTTTTTTGTTGTTAAAAAAATTTTGCTCTAATGTAAGGCTCTGCAAATCTAATGTCTTTTTTCTGACCTCTCCAATTTGAATTTCATATTTGCCAATCCCTGTGGCTCACAGGATCTTCACAGATTCGAGTAAGAACTCCTACTCCTCCTCATCCTGGAATCTAATTAACAACTCATTTTCTCCAACTTTGTTCACATTGGCTGGATATTCTCCAACCTCTGTCAAAGCAGAGAAGTTCAACTATGTTCATAAGTGTGTGATGTGGTTGAGCATGGAGATGCTCACTGTTTAGCGAAGAAGTAAACACTGACAAAACATGCAAATAATAAAATGGCTGCACCTCCAATCACTTTAAGGAATTTAAATGTATATGTGTTCAAGTTTTTTGATTCATGTCATTATTCTTTCAGTGATAGAATGGACACGGTATGCTGCTCTGTAAAGAACACCTCATTGCCTTTCATAGTTCTTTGAATTTCATAGTGTTGCCTAACACATCTCTTCACCAGAAGAGCTTAGAAGAACAGTACTCAAGAAAGAGTTGTCTTTTCCATGACATTGATCTTAGTCAGTACAGTACAATGATTGGGCTGTATGTACTAATAAATCAACAAACATTACATCTCTTGTCACCCACATTTTAGTCTTTCATCTGTGTACTGAGTGATTTAATGTTAAGCTAATACAAGTGTTGCCTTCTCTGTCTCTGGTTTGTTTCAGGTTATTTCCTTTAAAATATTTACCAATGACCAATCTCTTCAAAAATTCAGATAACCTGATGACCTATATGACATATTCAGGAAAATTCTTTTTCTCAAGAAAAACATTTCATATGCAGTGACTTGGTTTTTAGACTATAAAAATCAACTTTTTTGGCAATATAATCATGCTGTAGTTGACAGCTTTTATTGGTGCCAGAAAGGGATCAAATGTAAAACAGACCTATAATAAGAGTTTACTGGCTATTCACTTCAACCCTACTCACAGAAGAGGTGATACTGGTTAAAGTAAATGAAAAAAAGATAAAAGTTAAATCTTATGCCATGCTATTAACTCCTGAATACAGGCTGGTTTCAGGTACTAAATAAACCTGATAATTTTGAGAATCGTTGATTTCATCTAATACTAAAGTATATGAACTCGATGTATAGATAATCCTCACCTGGCAAATCTATAGTCTTGGTTAATAGTTGAGGAAAACAAGAAAATCTATAGCTAGATGCAAAATGTAATCAGGGCAGAAGCATTACCGAGGGTCACTGTATTAGTCAGCATTCTCAGGAGAAACTGAACCAATGGGAGAATTAGATGTATTTATTATAAGGAGTAGACTTAGGATTATGGAAGCTGAGAAGTCCCACCATCTGTAGTCTGCAACTGGAGACTCAGGAAAGTTGGTGGTATAAATTCTAGTCTGAGTCTAAAGGCCTAAGAACCAAGAGCACTGATGGTGTAAGTCCAAGTCCAAGGGCAGGGGAAGACTGCTGTCTCCGCTCTCACAGTCATGCAGAGAGAGAATTCTCTCCTCCTCCAGCATTTTGTTCCACTTAGGTCCCCAATGGGTTGGATGATGCTCTCCCAAATTAGAAGAGAACCATCTGTTTGGCTCAGTTCACCAATTCGAATGTTAATCTCTTCTGGAAACACCCTCACAGACACACCCAGAACTAATGTTTAACCTGGGCATACTGTGGCCCAGTCAGGTTGACACATAAAATTAACCATCACAGGAAGTGATCTCCACATTAGAAGACTGATTTGAAGTCTTGGCTGACTACACTGTTGTGGGAAATGAAGCGACCAAACACCGAGGGATTTTGGAGTACGAGGTTTATTTTACATGCATGGGCTCAGAGGAGTCATTTCCAAATTCTGAGCAATGAACAAAGGATTCCTGGGGTTTTTATAGATTAGGGTCTTCTTGTCTACGTGGCAAGGCGGGATACAGAAGCGGAATGCGGAAGTTAGTCCTGTCTAGGGGCAGAGCCAGGGCTCAAGGACACAGGTGTCTACGGGGCAGAAGCAGAATGCGATAATTAGTTCTATTTACGGGGCAGGGTTCAAAGGCTCCTATTATTCAGTTCCAGGGCTCCAAGGACACAGAAGCAGGGGTGTTAATCTCAGTCCTAGCTAATGCACTGTTGTTTACTTATCCTAGACAGCCCCATCATTCTCCCCAGGGCGCCTGGGGCCTGGGCAAATAAAGGTTAAACAGAGGTTTTTCAAAGTTTCTCATATCATTCCCCCCTTTTATGCTAAACAACACTGGTTGCTTGTTTAAGCATAATATATATTTTTGTAAGAATAAACAAGTCCCCCCTTTTATTAAATTTAGAGTATTAATGAGGTTTCTTTTTCCTTTTCTCTTGTTATTACTTATAATTCTAGTTCTATTATTGCAAAAGAGCAGTCAGAAACTAAGTTTTTCTTCCCTTTTTTTAACTCAAAATACTTTCATGTCTTTGTTCCGTACTTGCACCGTTTTAACTCCGGGCACTGCAAACCAGGAAAGAGCACACATCTGTGTCTCAGGCTGCTGTTACTATCAGCTGCATCAGGCAGGATCTTTTAGCCAATCTAAAGTTATGTGGCACTCTCTCACAGTCCACTGGCAAGAGGTCCTTTTTTGTACTAAGTTCTAGTCAAAGTCTTTCTTGCCTTCTAGGCTACACAGCCAAAGGGGGAACCCCAAAGCCACATGGGCCTCTTTCACCAAAGCTGCAGGGGTCGGCACTCTGCCTTAAACTATGCGGTGCCCTCTTTCACCTGGGTAGTTTATCCCCTCATGGCCTGGAGTTGATCTTTTCCAAGCTCTGACACAGGCCTCCCCCCCTTAGGGGCTCTGCTCTTAGCTACATCCTGGGTAAGTGACTTTATTTCCTTAGCTCTAAGTCTGGCTATACTATTTAATATATCTATGAAACTAGCTAAAAGCTATATGTCAAATAATTACTTTAGAGGTCAGCTGTAACCTGTTGTTATGTACAACATCTCTCACTGGCCCCGCTCTATTCGTCCCCCTCTCCCGGGGAGTGGTGAGTACACCTCAATATCTCTTGGATACCCCGAACCTTGGATCTTATTCTAAATCTTTTCTGGGGCTCCCCGTGGATGCACTCTGTATTAATATTCTTCCTTTTAGATTTATACCTACTTCATAATTATATAAAGGAAAAGGGACGGAGGTCTCATCTTCTTGTAACTTCTTCCAAGCTGGAAATGGACGCTGTCTTATTTACCCTGGGTTGGGGTGCCCTGAAGGGGGGCAGCACGGAGGGAGTCTTTCCTGTAAGGGGAAAGACCTCACAGGGTCCTGGTCAGTTGGCTGTCACCCGGACATCGCAGGCTTGGTGTCCAGAGGCTGGCATTACTGGACCGCCGTCATTCTGGTCAGGTCATATTCTGGAGGTGACAGATTAGGCAAGAAATTGGAAGCACAATTTAATTATAACTATTAATAGACAATGGTAGGCACTTTAGTAATGATTAGGAGTTCTCTCCTTTCAGGTTTCTGAGCCCTTTCTGTCCAAGTTATCAAGACAGAAAAGAGAAAATTAGTTCTAAAGTGAAGCCTACAGACCGCCCTAACTACTTAGTTCAGCCAAACTGTTGAGTCTCAGTGGGGCAATGATGGAGATGGGCTCCTTAAGTGAGGCCTATCTTGCAACTAATCTCTTATAGGCATAGGCAAGTCATAGGCATAGGCCCTATGAAAACAGAAGAACATACAGGTTAATTTACACAACTATCCCCAAACTAGTCTCTGCGCCTGTGAGACTGTCTTTTGGGAAGACATTCTATTGCAAGGTCTTTCCTACAATGATATTTAACAGTGGCAATTTGACAAGGTCCTTTGCACCTGTAAATTGTACATCTTTGGTGGCATCACAAACCTGGTTTTAATTTCAAATGAGAGTAAATTTTCAAGACAGTTAGCTGTACTATTCTGATGTCTAATGCTGAGCACTGTGATTTTCCTTGAACTACAATTTTTCTCCTTAAGATTACCCTCACTGTTATTACAGGGACTACTTTGGGTCCCGCTTTTGATTTTTGACTGTTCGTTTGCATAAACACACGAAGAGCAGCCTGGATCACTTGTGATCCTTAAGTCTGCTTTGCTGGAACTCACACACTCACCCAGGGAACTCTTAGATTGACTTTTCAATCTGCCCCTCAGGGCATAGCAGCGCCACACATCTAGCCTCGCCTGTACCAGTTGTTTCACTCAAATCCTTGAGCGTTCATTGTGCTTACAGGTTCCTTTTCAGCCATCTTTCAGGAAAGCAACCTTCATTCCTCCCCTGGAAAGACTGGCACGAACCACACAACTAACCAAAGTACCAGGCTTTTCTTGTGGGCTTTTACTAGCTTCACAGGTCAATCCTAGTTCCTCTGAGCTTTCTGGTAATGACCAGAACCCATATGCCTCCTTCAGGTGTGACATTCCAGTCAAAGTCCTGGTTAACAAAACTACTATTAATGGCTGGTCTTATTGAACTCATGCAAAGAAACCTTATAGTGTCATTATTCCTTCAGACAATGCCAAATTCTGGAGGGGTTAGGAGAAAAATACAAAGCATGATGGAAAATCTTTTTCCTTCTGATACCTATTAAGATTGTATTTCTATGCTTTATACCTTCTATTACTAACTTTATATAATTCCTTTCTAAACTTTTGCAAACTTCTACAACCTTTTATACACCCTTTTCTATCTTCATAGCTTCTCATAGCCCTTCAGCAATATTCAAAAACTTCTATATCCTTTTATATACTTTTTCATTTCTATATCTTATACTTTCTTTTGTTTACTTTTTATAGAGTATGAAGTTTCAACTTTTCCTGGAATCCTCAGTTTCTTTTTCAGAGCAGATACAGAGCAAAACCTGAAACACAGAGTTCTGAAACAATACAGGTAGAGACATTCTCTCGCACCAATGCTTCCACTGGTGCCTCACAGAGACATGCTCCTTCAGGCCCGGTCTCTTGGCAGAGACATGCTGCTTTGCCTCAGGCTGAAGCACTCATCAGCCACAATTGACCCTTCCTGGGTCCCGGGTGGCAAAGGCATTCTCCCCAACCGGCTACAGGTGACCTTTCCTAGGTCTTACAATACACAGGGTTTCTGATCAGAAGCAAAACCAATGGCAGAGACTTGCTCTCTTCCAATCCGGTCTCATGGCAGAGACATGCTCTTTGCCTCAGGCTGAAGCACTCATCAGCCACAAATGACCCTTCCTGGGTCCCAGGTGGCAAAAGCATTCTCCCCAGTAGGCATTCAGGCCTAAGGAGATCGAAGTCAGAAAGCGCTTCTCCCAGAATATACGGGGACTCAGGGCTTTGTCAAAGCTGGGGGGGGAGTCCCACCCGCTGCCGACTTCTGACCAAGCTCTGGGGGGGGCAGGGAGAGAAACCCAAGGCAGTGCCTGCCACCAGGGAGTCTTGCACTCCAGAGGTCGTCTCCCGCCCCCAGACCCTAAGGGCAGCGGTACAGAGCGGTTAGCAATATCTCTTTACTCTTGTTTATAAAATCAAATCAAAATAGGCCTGTGAAATCTGCTATTTGTTATTCTCGAATGCAATTACAAGGAACAATTTCTATATACATTATAGAGTACAAACAGGAATTAATTAAGGCATTTCTGGGTTGTTACAGCTCAAATTCTTAAATCTAGTCAGTTGAAAAATCATATAAACACATGGGATACATAAAAGTAACAGGTTTGGTTACATTTCAATTTTGGAAGAATTAGCACAGACTTTACAAAGTTACTTTCAGCATGAAGAATCTGAAAACACTCTTGCTTGTTTGCAGCATTAATTTAGTCTCTTTAAAAGTCTCTCTTAGGTGACCACTCCAGGGGCGCTGGTTGGAATTCCACACAGCTTGGAGAAATCTGGAGCTAAAGGTCATTCAGAAAGGCAAACAGCACACTCCCCTCTCCGAGCTAAGAGTTAAAATGGCCAATAAATCACTCTCGGGGGGAAGGCTCAAGACTCTTTCAAAGTATGATGAGCTCGTCTTACAATTGCCAGACCAGTTGAATTACCAGGTCCTCACTGGCAAACATTTCAGAACTTAAAATTCCTCACGCCTCAAGCTGCGGCAGCAGAAAACTCACTTCAGTGCCTGCCATCAGCCCCTCCCACTGGCTGAAACCCTACCCGTTGCTAGGAAACAGCCAGCGGGGCTGCCGCCCTAGTCAGCAGTAGCCTGGGGGGAAGGGCTCCGCCAGCCACCAAAGTCAGCAGGGACGGGGAGGGGGTTTACAGTGTAGCACTCCCAAAGAAAATCCAGGTCTCCCGCTAGCTGGGAAACCTCCTGCTCTAGGCTAGACAGTTCGACCAGCCCGTTGCACACTGGGGACTGCCTGTCCTGCCCTCAGCCGCCAGGCCCCTGGCTCCCGCCCTCCGACCCTGTCTCCGGGGCTGGGGAGGGGGAAGCGGTCGCTCGGAGGAGCTACCCAGCACCTCGGCAATCCCGTCCCGAGGAGACAGCCTCCCGCTCCCGCCCGCCACCTGGGGTGCCGATAAGGGGAAGAGAAAGGGGGTGCGAGGACGCGAGAAGTGTGCGCGCTTTTCCAATCAGCGAGCGAGGGTCCCAGCATTGCTGACTGGGAGAACTCTGGGGACGGAATACTCATCTCGTCAACACCGGCGCGGCCTCCGTGCTGCTTTGTTTCAACCAGTCAGATTCCTCGGCTCCGGCACCTGCGGACCCAGCTGGCGCGCGTTTTTTTTTTTTTTCTACAAATTAGACATAGAAACTCACAGACAATGACATAGCCGCGACAAACAAAGACTGCACAGATACAGTTTCTCCTCTCACACAGGCGAACCGCGGTTCTCACACAACTTCAGCTCTTTCACTCATACCTGCCGAGCCCCACACGACGCGGACACACAAAGGGTGGGGTAGATTCGCTCGTCCGCCTGGCCTGCTCCCTCTCGGGACGAAGTCGGTCTTGGCTAAGGTTGCCCCAGCAGAATTCGGGGTTAGCTGCCAACCGTTATACCGTATGACCTGACACAGGAACCGCAGGTTGGGACCCACTCTTGCTCCGTAGGACCAGCCCGTGGAGCCACAAACACAGTCTCGCACACTTTCACGCTCAAGCACTCCGAGTTTAAACAATACCCCCCTGAGTACGGGGGTCAAGTTGTGGAACCCGGTATGGATCCCACCTAAACTCAGGACAATACCCCCCTGAGTACGGGGTCAAGTTGTGGAACCCGGTATGGATCCCACCTAAACTCAGGACAAAACCCCCCGAGAAGGGTTCGAGTGGTCGGAATGCATCCAACCCAAGGTTCCAATGAGAGGTGATCAGCCTCTTCCAGTCTCGGGACAAGTCCCCGGGGCACTCACCAAGTTCGGCGCCTCCAATCAAGGCCTTTAATCAAGTCGTAGTCCAGAATCTCTCACTTCCCGCCTGGCCGTGCGGGTCAGCGGCCGCCGCCCCAACTGGACGGGGCCTAAGAAATCTCAGGGCACGTGCACCCCCGCTTTCCCCAGTTGGTCCTGCGGCCGCCTCCCGGCGTTTCCAGACGGTGACAAACGCCTGAATTAGTGTGAGGTCGCCTTTCCCGGTCAGGGAACCAAATGTTGTGGGAAATGAAGCGACCAAACACCGAGGGATTTTGGAGTACGAGGTTTATTTTACATGCATGGGCTCAGAGGAGTCATTTCCAAATTCTGAGCAATGAACAAAGGATTCCTGGGGTTTTTATAGATTAGGGTCTTCTTGTCTACGTGGCAAGGCGGGATACAGAAGCGGAATGCGGAAGTTAGTCCTGTCTAGGGGCAGAGCCAGGGCTCAAGGACACAGGTGTCTACGGGGCAGAAGCAGAATGCGATAATTAGTTCTATTTACGGGGCAGGGTTCAAAGGCTCCTATTATTCAGTTCCAGGGCTCCAAGGACACAGAAGCAGGGGGTGTTAATCTCAGTCCTAGCTAATGCACTGTTGTTTACTTATCCTAGACAGCCCCATCATTCTCCCCAGGGCGCCTGGGGCCTGGGCAAATAAAGGTTAAACAGAGGTTTTTCAAAGTTTCTCATATCAACACCACCTATGTCTTTGACCTATGCTTCTTCATCTAAAAAAAATGAAAATAATTATGCCTCACAGGGTGAAGGGGAAAGTAAAGGGATTAAAATAAATGTAAGTGTGCCTTATAAATTTTAACTGGCCTGGAGATATAAGGTACTATTTGTTCTGTTTCCTGTTTGTGTCCCTCTGTACTTTATCACAATAGAGTAACAGGCCTGGAAAGTGCAAATTCACAAAAAAAACTTTTGTCAGAGTGATTTCTGTTCGGAACCACCCTGCCTGGTTTCAGAAGCTTTAACCCCCATGGCTAAAACTGAGTAAAGAGACGTTGGGACGACCAAAAGCCGCTAAGGAAACAAAGCTTATCTTCCCAGCAGGGGTGCTTTCTCTGCCCTCTTTCTCTTCACCCTACTTGGCCCCTGGCAGAGGACTTATTAGCCAATGACAGGTAAGAATCCTCAAGGGAGGAATGATGGGCTAAGGCAGGCAGGGTCTCAAAGGCGCCCTTAGGGAAAGGCTTTGGGGGGCTATAGAAAGAAGGGGTGATGGACCCTCACCCCTCTGCTTTGACATAGCCTGAGTCTTCATTCTGTCTGCCAGAAGTCTCCTAATCTCTTGGCTGCCTTACTTCCCCTGTCTGATTTAAGCCTGAAACAATGACGAGGTGGAATGGGTCGTTCCAGGGGCAGGGATGGGTGGTTCCCTGGGGCCATCAGGCCTCAAAAAGAATGTGTGAAATCTGCTTTGCTGAGAATGTCCTCAATTTTCTGATAAGGGTCCAAGCACGAAATGAGTTCCCAAAGTTTTATGGCCCTTTAGCTAACTGATCCTGACTCAGAATAAGCCCTCATAGTTCTTTGAATGTTATCTATTGTTTGATCATTACTGCCTGAGGGTGATGAATGAAGATCTTCCTTCAGGTAATGCTCCCAGAAAAGCAATAAAAGCTTGTCCAGCCAAGGGTCAGGGTGCTCTCTCACTCAGAGAGGGGCCATGCCATCCCTTGTTCTTCACAGGATTTCATAGTTTGTGTGAATTTGTTCGTTGCATCCACAACACAGTGGACACCATCGGTCAGAGTTTGCATCAGATTTCATTGGAAGAAATAAGCTAAATAAGTAGTCTTATGTTTTTGGATATAAAAGGACATGAAATATTACAAAAAATATTAAACCAAAGCCTCCACTGAAAAAGCTCTGCTAAAACAGACGTAGAGCCCAAGAGATCTAGTCAATAGCAACTCATGTATGCCTTATGAGTTCCAATGCCTTAACTGTGTGTCCAAGAAAATTGTCTCAAAAATTATAATAATCAATTAGAGTTACTCTCTCAACAGCTGTATAGGTGAAAGTAGTGGAATGTTGGTCTAGGAATGTCTACATGTTTTCCATACTCCTGGGAATACCCAATTAAATGAAGGATTCATTTCAAAAATGAAAGGAGCCATTGCTTATATCAATGACAGAGAAAATATTTCTAGAGGAAAAACAATGAATTAGTAATGGAAGTGAGCATACATAGAATAGGCCCTGTGTGTGTGAGTCCAAAAGGCCAAGGGCAGGAGAAGACTGCTCAGTTCTCACAGTCCTGTGTGGACTCAGGCTTTATAGAAGTCCCAGGCTTGTCATTCTCCTAGCTGCTATCACCCCTTATACCAGAACTGTCAGCCTTGAATAATGGAAAATCTGCTGCTGCTTTCTCTGGGTGCTGAGTTAAACAAGACAGAGGCAATTTATCCTACCATAGTCCTGGTTCCTTCTTGCCTGACAGATCTTACTTCTACTGAGAATGATCTTCCATAGCAATGACGAGACAGTTGGAGAAAAAGATTGTCACAAATTCAAACTAAGGGTCTGGTGAAAGAATTAAAATTGAGTTATGTAATTTGGGTAAAAAAGCATTTCCCCAAAACCAGAATTTTCTCCCATGCCTTCTTAAATTGGTTAAGAGTCTACCATTGCCAGTCACTTAAGCTCAAACATATGCTCATTTTTAATCACCCCTGCTACTGTTATCCCCACAATTTATTAATCGACAATTATTAGTTATGAGCACACAGTACAGAAGTAATATTTCTTGTCTCTTCATTTTAGCTCCTCTGTCAATAATTCAATTTGTTTTCTCGTATTTTATTGGAATGGTTGAAATGTCATCTCCTCTGGCCGCCTTCCTCAGCTCTTTCTCTCAACCTCAACTATGCAGTCCTGCCAGTTGTGCACCATTTCCAACTCAAAATCCCTCGGTGGCTCACCAGTGCAAACAAAATTAAATTCATATTTCACAGGCTAAAACTGGAAAGTCCGAAAATACCAAATGTCATAGAGATTATGGAGCAACAAGAACCTTCATGCTCTGCTGGTAGAAGTGTATGGATGGGATTATTTTGGAAAGCTGATTTTCAGAATCTACTAAAGCTGAACAAGTGGATATCCTATAACCTCCAAATTCCACAGAAACAATGGTGACCTTGATAAACTGTGATATATTAAACCCTGGAATACTTATGAAACAATGAAAATAAATGAACTGTAGATATGTTCAACAGCATGTATAAGTCTCATCAACAATATTGACTGAAAAACGTTTGACAAAAGATAATATATACTATCTAATAACATTTATGTAGAATTCAAAACCAGGCAACACCAATCCACAGTGTTAAAATGTAGCTTCCTTCAGGGAGGAAGAAAAGTGTGGTATTTGAGAAAGGGCACGAGTAGGGCTTCAGATGTTGTTAATGTTCTATTTTACTACCCTCGTGTTGGTTTCATAGGTATGTTAACTTTGTAATAATCTAGAGCTGCACACTTACGTCTTGTGCACATTTCTTTACAACTTGTTTTCTTAATATAAGTTCTTAGCGTGGCTCTTAAGTTTGGCCAGAAGTGTCTCCCTACCTGTCTCTTCAACCTCACTCTCTCTCAAGCTGCTTCTCACTGAAGACTATGCTTCAACTATGTCTTAGTCCATTTAGGCTGCTCTACAAATAACCATAGACTGGGAGACTTAAATAGCATTTCCTTTTCAGTTATGGAGGCTGGGAAGTCCAATATTAAAGTGCCAACAGATCCAGTGTCTGGGGAAGTCTCACTTCTTGGTTTGCAGACAGCCACCTCTTTGTTGTATTTTCGCATGGTAGAGGACAGGCAGAGCAAGCTCTCCACTGTTATTTTCTTAAAAGGGCATTAATCCCATTACAAGGCCTCCAGCCACAAGACCTAATTAATTCCCAAAGTCTCTACCTCCATGTATAATCCCACTGGCAGTTAGGGTTTCAACATATAAATTTTGGGGACTAAACATATAGTCCATAACAAACTCTATTGGTGTATTTGCTCATCCCAGAATTGGTTCTAATTTTTTTAAATCTTCTTCTTTTGCTCATCCTGTTTCTCACTAGGAATTATCTTGTGCATCTTTTCACCTCAAAATCCTATGTGTTTTTCGAAGACCAAATATACCATTTTAAGAGGCCTTTCTTAATTTCAGTAGATTTTATCTCTCCATCTCTGAGTTGCAACATTAACCTCCGTCGTGAACCTCTATGATTTGAACCTCTCTTAGGAAATTGATCCTATAAATTCCTGTATTTCAGATATTTTAAATTTTCTTTTATTCTCTAACAAGTGTATAAATTACTGGAGAGCCAGGAACTTTGCCTTGGGTCTTGGAATCCATAGCATTACTTCACATACTGCCAGTACATGTTGTCAAATGGATAACTGGATGAGCGTGTGATTAAATGAGCAAGCAAATAAACCAGTGAATCGGTTCCCTATAAAATATTTGTAATCCTCCAAGAGGACCCTATGGGTCAAGTTTTATCCCAACCTAGGAGTACAGGTAAGTCTACCAGTATCCTCTTGTTTCCCAGAAACAATCCGGTAGATTAATGTTACAGCGTTTTGTAATTTACTGAACCCAAATGTGAGAGCTGAACAGACTAAAAGCCTGGAATTGGTAAATATACAACCAGCCCAAGACAAAATCGTGGGAAGGGAAGTTGTTTCTTTCCCAACTTTCTTCTGGTCCTTGTTTTTATCCGTTCTCCCAAACCCACCCTCTCTCCTTCCTTTCTTCCTTTCCTTTTTAGGGGTCAGTGCTGACACAATACCAATAGGGTGTGTGTGTGTGTGTGTGTGTGTGTGTGTGTGTGTGTGTGTGTGTGTGTTATAGAGACAAAATTTATTGTAAGGAATTGGCTCATGTAATTATATAGGCTAACAAGTCTCAATATCAGCTGTTTCAAAGTCAGAAAAAAAATCTTTTGGGGGAAAGTTAGTTTGGCCTCACCACTGGATAGCCCAGAATTTAACTGGCTTTTCAATAGTGAAATTGTTATGTAGTTACTGGGCAGTCAGGAAGCAATTCTGTGGGAGTAAAGGTGGTGACCTGACAACCACCAGCTGGTAGCAGGTAGAAACCAGGGCAGCAGGCAAAACATGCAGGGCTTTCAGGAGTAGAAAGCTGGCTTGATGGGAACCCTCTGAGATATAGGCAGGTTGCACAGGGACCTGCAAAGAAAAGTGAGGCACTGATGAAGAGAGGAAGATTTTGGAGTGCTAATTTCCATGTCAATTGTATAGCAGGAAGGTTATTGCCAGGCTGCAAAGTTGCTGAAGGACCACATTTCAGCCACATGACAGAACAGGGCACCAGATGTCAGTATACCTACTCTGTTGGCTCAGCAAGCAGCAGCTGGACAAGGCAAGAGAGCCCCTTTCTCCAGTGAAGTCCCTCCAGAGACATCCATTGAGAACGCTTAGCATAGGTTTCACTTTCAAGGGGGAACACTAAAAGAAATCATCTGTTATCATAGAGCAAAAGTTGAAGGGTGAATTGGGAGCTGAAAGGCAATAAATTGATAAGTGGCATACTGGCTGTGAGTATCAGTCGTGAAAGCCAATAAATTCCCTTCTGGTTTTAGACATTTTCTGCTAGATTTTCTGAAAATTGCAATTGAAAGATTGAAAAACCCTGCCCTCATACCAACAGGGTTTTTCATTGAGCAC